GGATTCGAACCCGCGACCCTCAGATTGCGAGTCGAGCGCCCTAACCACCTGGCCATGCCGGGCCGGAAAAATGATAAATATGTGTATTTCGGTGTTACCAAAGGATAGAAAATAACGTGAAAATTAAGTTAGCGTATTATCAAATATGTTAATGAAAATAATAATGTATTCATTGAGTGAAACAACTAGAAAATATATACATCTACATTTGATCCTTTTAGACCGAAACGTCACTTCAACAAAGTGAGGCATAAAGAGTTAATGAAAATAATAATGTATTCATTGAGTGAAACAACTAGAAAATATATACATCTACATTTGATCCTTTTAGACCGAAACGTCACTTCAACAAAGTGAGGCATAAAGAGTTTTATAGAAAAGTTTAATGTGTAGGTTCTCGAAATTAAATACGCCACTGCAAGATATTTGGTGATGTATCATTATATCTTCATTGGCGTATCATCATCATCCTTTAATTACTTCTCAGGCGAAGCCGCTCTGTCAGCCAAACCCTGTGACTTAATGTAAGAATAAGTCAAAGAAAGACCTAATACCATATACAAAGATCTCCAAGTATAACAAAATTACTGTAACTGGATTAATCCGCGTCAGTTTGTCTACATCACCATACCGTATTGATACCTATAAAAAGTAGTACACTCCAAATGAAAACACGCGCTGTAGTTCTTTGTCTTTGGTAACTCAATATAGATAGGATGGTAACCACGGCTATTGGACACGCGATGTAATCTGAGCGGCGTCACCACACATTTAAGGTGTTTTTGTTATATAAGAAAAATAAGTAATGTGACGACAAAAGAAAGGTAAGACTGGTGGCGCTTCTAGTGTACCAAACCCTGATCTAATCATTCACTTCGTCATAATCCCAGGAACTCTCAATTTCCTGTTATTTGTGTGAAGGGAAAGCAAAATTTCTATGGTATAATCTATACTTTTTTTATCACCTTGTGCAGTTATTATCATTATTAAACGTAATTATTAGTACCTTTTGATTATAGCAAGTTACCTATTTGGATCAGTAACGGAGATAGCTAGTCAAATATTATGATTAAAATGCATGATTTCATTAACTGGGCACTCTCGGCCGTAATCCCAATAATATCTCACGAGGTTCGGCCAGCTTAGGAGATTTATGTTAGTTCTTAGTTCATATACTAAGCTAACAATGAAGACTAACCTCAATAATAAAATATTAAACATTTGAAACATTTTGTTAATGAAAATAACTAAATAAGGAGTAGCATATAATTTACGAAATACACAAATCTCGATGGTTTGCTTCATACACAAACATATATTACACATTTCTTGAAAATTTGACATTACTTTTCGCAAAGCTTAGGTTGTAACGATTTTTATTGTTCAACGACTTCTTTTGGATTATTCGGTGAAAAACAGTGCAAGGTCCAATCCAATTAACGATAAAGAAATATATTTTATTTCTTCTCCAATAATCTCTACATGTTCCACGTCACTAAGTCGATAGGTGTAACTTCACAAATAACGCTAAACAGCCACTTACTTGCTAAATTAATGATAAAGAAATAGATTTTATTTCTTCTCCAATAATCTCTACATGTTCCACGTCACTAAGTCGATAGGTGTAACTTCACAAATAACGCTAAACAGCCACTTACTTGCTAACTTCTCTCACAGCTCTACTGCTTCGTTAAAACACAAAATCCAAATTTACAGTGCTGGATTAAGCCAACTCGCTGACCCAGTAATTAGTCAACAATATATTCACTATTTTAGCGTAACTCGCGTTTCTATGCTGCTGAAATCGTTTTCTAAATTTAAGAAAATTCTAGTGTTATCTTAGGAGACGTAACTCCGCTCAATTACTTTTAAAAACGTGCATTATATGGTTTAATTTCTCGAAAGTGTATTTGAATAACGGTTTCAAGCAAAAGACTGACCTGGCTTTGAAACTGACATCGCACTTTAATTGCTCAAAAAAAAAGAAAAAAAAAAAGGTCTCCACTCTGGTGGTTCAGGTTTATATGATGAATACATGTAGCTTTGCATTTGAGCATAAACGAACAAACAAATTCTAAAAAAAAATTGCTAATTGATTAACATTTCTATTTAGAAAATAAAAAGATATCATTGTGGTGTTATATTTATAAACATGATTTCGTAATAACATATCACACGTTTTCAGGTGTCCGTTTAAATAAGAAGCAACGTATTAAAGATTGAAAAAAATATTCAAACAAGAAAAAGAACGACAATGTCACATGAGATTTCCATCTCTTGTGAATCTAGTTTGGAGAAGTAGGAGTTACTTTGTTAAAAAAGTTGGGTATTCTACCAAGGACAGACATGATAAACTGGAAACAGCTATTTAAAGAGATTCCAAGCCACATTCCCATTTGTCCACCAAGATTAGCATAGACGTCTTGAATCTGTAAAACATAATTACAATATTTATAAAATCGAGAGCAATTACTTTTAATCCAGTCATACAAAATGATTAAAACCATATACTCGAGCGCTATCTAAAGGTGGACCTTTTGAAAGCGCTCGGGTTATAGGGTTTTAATAATCCTCCCTACTACAAACATAAACACGTATTATTGTAGCCTTACTAATATTTCACTACTTCCTATGCCTATAAAAAAACCTACAGACTAATCGTAGACTTTTTCTTAGTTTGTCAATTGCCTTGATAAAAACAAACAAGTTAAACCAATGTTTGATGACCATACGTTGTAGTAACAACTGATAGTTGTGCCATAGACTTACCTTATACTTAGGGCTGCTAGTGTACGTTATGGTCTCTGTTGTTTGGAAATACACTTGTAATTTTATGTTCTGCAGCTCCGACAAACTGCTAATGTGAAAGACAAAGTAAGCAATTACGACAGGAATATAACTTTTTTATTTAAATCGAATACTGCACATTTTGAACATTACATATGTGTAATGACTTTAAGAAAGACTAAACACGTCTTGTTTTAAATAGCAAGTAAGAAAATCTGTTACACCAATCACATGCCAGAAGCTGGTTTTAAAGCTGAAGCGAAAAGTCTTAGAAAGCTCGCGAATTTTGAACTGAAAATCAAGATTCAAACTGACAATGAGTGATGAAATATTAAATTTGTTTTAATATCGTTTTTCTATATCTAGGTTTCCCGACTGACAATCTTAAAGTCTACTATCAAGAGAAACCCACCCAGGGCCAGCCAGTTTAGAATATGTTCCAATATACTCACGTTTTTCTTCTACTGTCGAATTCCCTTTCGAATCAGAGTAAAATTATTTATAGATGATCAATAACCAGCCAGCAAAGGACCCACCCAGGTGCAAGAAGAGGCCTACGATCAACCCAGATGCGAAAGGCGTAAAACTTATCCAGATGCTAGAGGCCTAAGATGTAACCAGATGCAAGAAGACGAATTCTGGACTGATTTTAATTATAATCTTTGGGAAATTTTAAAATATTTTTCAGAAATATTCAGACTGATTCAATGAACTTTCCGTTACGTTTATTTCTTATATCAAGGCTTTATTTCACTAATGAATTATTTTGGTGATCAACATGCGAAATCCTTTTATATTCCACACAAATTAGGGAGCGCATATTATGGTCTTCGATTAACCTATTCATATTTTTGTTTTTTTTTACCTTCTGAAAATACAGCGGTATGTCTGCGGACTTACAACGCTAGAAACCGGGTTTCGATACTCGTGGTGGGCAGAGCACAGATAGCCCTTGTGTAGCCCTTGTGCGAAATTAAAAATAAACAAACAATCCTCCTGAAAAATAATAAGGCCAAGACAATATCGCTAAACACGAGCATGGCTGTCAAGGACATAACTATAAGTATTGTTTTCTATCTTGGAGCACTTTTGCTTTTATAGCTGTATTGTTTCCTGTTGTGTAGTTCGTTTTTTATCTGTTTCTTTACTGTTGAATTATTGATATTAGTTTTAGGTGGAGGGATAAAATTGGCTGATAACAAACAGTTTAATTTAACTGTTTTCTTCTACTGGATTACTTCCACATTTAATCAGTTGGAAAAAGCATAATGTTAGGTTAAGTTAATAAATCCTATGTTCTGTGAAATTACACTAGTCAGAACCACTTCGAAATAAGTCAAGTAAAAAGGATCAGTGCAGAAGTATCCAGTATTTAGAAAAATATCCAAGTAGAATTTATTAGCAGACTTCCACAACTGGATCTGATGTAGCCAGTACCTTAACATGTCCAACTATCAGTTCTTTAGAACAGAAACTTTAAATGTTTACTTTTCTAACCAGCATGACTGAGAGTTGTTGAAAGTTTCTACTCTAGATTTCAAAGGTTTATGAGTAAACTATACTACAAAATATACTGAGACACTAAAAAAGGGGAATACTAATAAACTTGAAGTTAAGATGTCCGTAGAAGTTGTTCGACTGTGTATTATGATAGATTAGTATTGGAAGATAGACTAGGACTTTTTATTTCATTAAATCCTCTGCTCATGAGAGTCAAGCAAGGACATTAAAAATCAGATTGCCTTCTCACCAGATTGCGCTCTCATCAGATTGCCCTCTCACCAGATTGTGCTCTCATCAGATTACCCTCTCATCAGATTACCCTCTCATCAGATTGCCCTCTCACCAGATTGCGCTCTCATCAGATTACCCTCTCACCAGATTGCCCTCTCACCAGATTACCTTATCACCAGTTAGCGCTCTCATCAGATTACCCTCTCACCAGTTTGCGCTCTCATCAGATTGCCCTCTCACCACACTGTGCTTTCATCAGATTGCCCTCTCTTTACATGATCTATGTACCTCATTACTATACAAATTCAGGTAGGCGTAAAATGATTAATTCAAAACCTCTTTCATGTAGGATTTCATTACTGAAAAATAAATCCACTTCCTATAGTGATTAGTAAAACAGTTTGGGGGTCTAGCATGTGAACAATTCATTAAAGATTCACGTGGCTGATTGGCCTAAAGTTCGGTTTTCTTATTTCGAACTACAGTATTTGTACTAAGTAAGTCCAAGTAATCAACGATTAGTAAGTAAAATATATTAGTTACTTAATCTTAATTCTTTTAAGCTCGTGTTATCTAGTATAACTATACATTTCCAAGGTTTAATTACAGCTTTTCTATTAAGAATACTAATTACATAAACTTTTTTTTACTGAGTTTCGGTCGCATCATTTCGAAAAAATGTTTGCTATTTTTAAATTTATTTTTAATAATCGAGATGGCGATAGACCTGAAAAGCTCTAAAAATCACTTACTCATATGTCCCAGAAGGCTGTAAAGAAATATATATATATACATTAAAACATTTTGTATTCTGAAAGATCATTCATTAAATGCTAAATACAACTGAATTACAATTCTAATTTTTATATTATATGTGAATGTTAAGAACAACAAGGAAAACAGGTAATAAAATACTCTAATATTAGAGAAAAACGTTATTTATCAATCTCTTCACGACATCGGAATGCTGTTTTGAACCACGAGCTGTCATTATTTTTGCGCAGATATTTCAATATTTATTTTGATTAATTTTTATTTTCATTACTTTTATCTTATTTTGCTCAAAATGAACTCTATTTACTTCTGTACTGTATTTTTTTACGATCTCACGTATTCCGTTAAATAACACGATGCCACTAGGAGTACGAGAAATAGGTGATAGAGGGCTCTACAAGTCACAGAAAATATAGAATTGTATATTATGAGTCTTAAGACATATAGTATGTTAATGTAAGTGCCAACATAAAAACATCTGAAAAGAAGACTAATGGCACACGAATTTTTACACCGGAATAAAAGTTTTATGAGTTATGTAACTCAAACCATAAATATATTAATACGAAAGTAACTTGTATTCGAACTGCATAAGTTATGCCCCCCCCCCCTAGTGGCACGGTGGTATGTCTGCGGCCTACAACGCTAGAAACCGGGTTTCGATACCCGTGGTGGGCAGAGCACGGATAGCCCATTGTGTTGCTTTGTGCTTAACTTTAAACAAACAAAAGCGTAAGTTATGCGGGAAAACCAATAACTTTATCTATCTTAACTAAAACAAATAGGTAATACTCATATCGATTTGAGTATACAAATATTAAAAATAATCCACTAAAATATATAAGAACCGAAGCAAAACTCTGTCTATACTATAATCTGCTATGTTATTTATTATTATAAAAACACCGTGTTGGGGGATGATCTGGATCCTCATTATTTATTATTATAATCCCAACACGGTATTGGATGATCTGGATCCTCATTATTTATTATTATAATCCCAACACGGTATTGGATGATCTGGATCCTCATTATTTATTATCATAATCCCAATAGGATCTGTAAAAACTTAAAAAAAACAAATAATTATTATACGTAAAAATTACACAGTTTAATGACCCAGTAAATTATCCAGTTTGGCCAAAGTCTCAGTCAATGTAACAAATAGCAAGATAAGTTTGAGTAATTAACTTTGATTATAATCACAAAGAACTGTAAAGTAAACAAAAACAGTAAATTACAATAGATTTTAGTTTATATGAGTTTACTTACTGGCGACAAGTTACAGTTTTACAGCATGTTTAAGGAAACATGAAAATTCTTCCTCAAAACTTCAATGTTAAACTGCAACGTATAAAATTACAATGGAGTTTTTTCCATATTTAAAACAGCATCAACAATCGGATGTGTTTCACATATTTACTGCCAAATTCCCCAAATCCTCCTGTGGTTTCCACACATTACAGCATGTTAAAAAAAATAGTAAACTTGTTTATAAATTTTTATTTGTTGTTAATCTTTAACAACTAGAGTATGTTCAAACTGGATCACACTCACCTGTGTGACTTGCAGGTCTGAGGAGGAGATGACCATTTCCAGCCCGTAATCACTGTAACGAATGACAGGAAATACTGGAGTTCTTAACTTTTTAAGTATAATAAGTACTTCAGTGTGACAGCAGTTTTGTTACAAGTGTGATGCAAGCAACATACTATACTAAATGAAGACTAATACAAGCGAAGCTTGAGTAGATCAAATATTTTATGACAAAAATAATACATGCTTAACAGGTATAATGTCTACTTAAATATCTGATCGTTTTTCGCAATTTTAACTGAATGTTGATAAGTTTCGAAATTATCTTAGATTGATAGATCTGGCATTTTCAATTGTTTGTTTATTTCAGAATCTTCGCGCAAAGCTACACAAAAGGCTATCTGTGTAAATCTGTTCCTAATTCTAGAGGGAAGCCAGCAACTATTCAACAGCACCGACCGTCAACTTTTGGACTACTTTTGTCTGGCCGAATAGTGGGATTTAGCCATCGCTCTTATGACGAATTTACTGTCCCAAACAGCGGAGCGCATTTTTGCGACAACATGTCGCGAACCATGAATCCTCAGTTTTATATTCTAGATATGCTAATTACTCCGCCACGCCCAGCTCATAATGAATCCCTGGGTGTTTTTGTTTTGTGTTAAACATAATGGGCTATCTATGATGTACCAACCACGGGAATCGAAACCCGGTATTTAGTGTTATAACCATCGAGATTTACCGCTGTGCCACTGGAGGCATCCCTGTGTGTTTAAAAAAAAAACTATTGGAAATATTAATATATTTTGCAAATTTATAATTCATTGCCAGCCCTCAACCAAATTTAACCAGAGAGATGTGTGGACCATGCTTCGCGAGATTCATCTTTTAGAGCATATTAAGTAAACCCAACTAACCTAAATAATTCAGTAGTTATAAACCCGACTAACCTGAATAATTCAGTTATTATAAACCCGACTAACCTGAATAATTCAGTTGTTATAAATCCGACTAACCTGAATAATTCAGTAGTTATAAACCCGACTAATCTGGATAATTCAGTAGTTTTAAACCCGACTAACCTGAGTAATTCAATTGTTATACACCCGACTAACCTGAGTAATTCAGTTGTTATAAACCCGACTAATCTGAATAATTCAGTCAGTTTGTTTAAAACTTTGTTTGTTTTTTTCTGATGATTTCGATTTTTACACACACATACACATTTTAGATGAACATGTTATCATACATAGCATTTTTCCATATTACATACATAAATAATGGGGTACTTTCAAAGATTAAACTGACGCTAAGCTGAAGTTACAGTTTAAGTATTCCTTAACACTAAGTGAGAAACTAACAGTAACCCTAACAGTAATGCTTATCGGATTGAGTAAGCTTTTAAAAAAACAGGTAAGTTTATTGGATAAACAGAGCTACATTTTGGAATGCTGGTATTTGAGTAAAAACTTTAAAAGTCCTTCTCACTGTTTTTTTTGTTGTTGTTGTTGGTTTTTTTTCATTATGAATGAATTGTTCTTTAATTATTCTATTGTTAGTCAGTATAGTATATTTTTCCCAGATTACACTTGGCTATGCGATATAGTGTATATATATATATATACTTTGAGGGGGGTGTTCTTTTCAAATACATATTTTTGTACTTATTAATTCTGTTCCTGAAGCAATTGTAGATGTTTCCTTGCAGTGATATTTACAGAAACAACACACAATGTAAGTTGACCAAATACAAATATATATTCCTACATGCCAGCGAAACCACAGCCAAGGGAACTGGCTTTGAAAAATTAGGAGAGGCTGTAAGATCTACCCCTTAATTACTAACGCTATACAAAATTATTTGGCTATCAAGAGCTAAAGTGTTATTAAATTGTAGTATATAACGTATTCAATGAATATTTTAAACTTAAGGGAAGCATTATTGTTTTATAACATAAAGATCGTTTTGATTGTTAAAACACACAATATTGACTGTGGATGTCTGGACATAGTAAACAAATAGGTACGAATCTTTCTACTTCGGAGCTTGTTATTTTAATGCTCAAGGTTTCGGACACGCGTCACCCGGTAATTCAGTGGTAAGTTTACTGACTTACAAAGTTAAAATCTGGGGTTCGATAGCAGATAGCCCATTGTGTGATTTTGAGCTAAAACAAACCAGCAAAGAAACAATCGGTTATACACATTTAAAAATATACTACATAAAATAGTGAAACGTCTGGTAAAACTGGTTGCAAGGGGGAAAGCATTTAAATAAAAAGCCTGGAAAGAAAGAGGTGGTAATTTTTTGTACAAATAAATAAACGTTCAAAGGATCGTTTAGGACAACCTTACCATATATAAATTGTTATAACTTTGTATTCACTACTGATATATATATACTTTTCTGCTTTTATTTCGTTTAATTGTTGCAGGCTATGCTTTTTAATTTACTTAGATGTTTGTACTGTTCTTGGCCAGAGGGAATTTTTGATGTCGCGTGATGAACGTGGCTTAATGGCTAAAACCTTCTTCATAACTTTGAAAATGATGTCATTAACATTGTTTGAATTTTTGACGTCGCGTGATGAACGTGGCTTAATGGCTAAAACCTTCTTCATAACTTAGGAAACGATCTCATTAAAATTGTTTATTATGTTTTAGTTAAACTTTGAACTGAGAGCTGGAAATATATTTTCTTATATATAATAATTTATAGATATGATACATAAGGCAACATAAATTTGGAATCTTTCAGTAGAAATAAGAAAACTTTCTTACAAACACGCCAGTGGACAGTCGCAGGTAACCTGACCTGAAGATAGCTTTCCTCTGGTATCGTCCAAACATGAAACTGAAAAACAGAGAAGCATTTAGTCCTTCATGAATAACGAAACTTTGGAAATGTAATGAAAATTGTGTTTGGCACAGAGTATAATTCATTTAGTTAGAAAAAATAGTAAACTCAATCTAACCACAAAGTTTTAAATGATGTAAAATTAAATTTAATCAGCGAAAAAATATCTGATGCTTTATTTCTTTTACAAAATAGTTTAGTTTTAACCAAGTGTAGTTACAGCTGTAAGACCTATTTGACCAAAATGTAACTAATACACTATGAAATGTGTCAAATATCCATTCAGTACTGCTCTTTCTCGTATATGAATTATATAAAAGTTATTTGAGAAACAATATATTTATTTACTTTGAAGTTAAGCACAAAGCTACACAATGGGTTATCTGTGCTCTTCCCACCACGGGGATCGAAACCCGGTTTCTGGAGTTTAAGTCCGTAGGCATATCGCTGTGCCACTAGGGGGCTTGAAAAACAAACGAAAGGGAAGAAGCGTATGAGATATTACTAAAGCGTAAATTTCGAAAAATCAAAGCTAAATCTCAGTTGGAATGCATACTATATCTGATAAAGACTTTAGGTGTTTTTTTTAACCTTAAGTGATACATTTGCCAATATTTGTATATAACTGGGGATATACGTCTTCCCATTGAATATGATATATTGTATTTTCAGGCCTTATGGTTCAAATCGGTAGAGGGATAAACCTGATATAATTTTAAGAAGAAAAATTAAGGTAATTATATATTAAAGCATCTAGAGATCACTTACAATCATATAAAATTTATTGCATGTTTAAGCGTGGTTATAAAATAAAAACAGCCTAAAAAACAACACTTTCAATCAACACGTTTCGCTAATTGTTGGTGTACAAATATTTTGGAATAGGTTATAGTCTCAGACGCAGGAAAGGAGCCAGCTAAGAATAGTCACCAAATGTGGTCACTTACTCAGGCTAATCTAGAACCAGACTCAGTCTCCTCATTCAGCAGCCAGCTAAAGAATGGTCACCAAATGTAGTCACTTACTCAGACTAATCTAGAACCAGACTCAGTCTCCTCATTCAGCAGCCAGCTAAAGAATGGTCACCAAATGTAGTCACTTACTCAGACTAACGTAGAACCAGACTCAGTCTCATCATTCAGTTATGATCTCATGGTTACTAATAGTAAAATTGTTATTTGCTTAATACGGAGAATACCATAGAGTTTAAATACATAGTGTACTGAAATAATGTAAACACTAAAAATGACTGTTTTTAGAAACTTATTACCTAAAGTAAGAAAATAGAAATTACTTTAATGTTTCTGTTTTATGATACTTTAATAAAGCTTTATCTATATAAAACCACGTTAGTGTCACATGCTTTCTTGCTAACAGAAGCAAAAAAAGAATTTGATTTTATGAAATGAACTTAATAACGCTAAAAACCGGCTTTCGATACCCGCAGGTGGGTACAATACAGAGAGCCCATCATGTAGTTTTGTGGGTAACAACAAAACTGTGGCTAAGGGGTCTGAGACGGTTGAACATTAGGTATTATACATATATATATATATGTTTACATTTTTTTTATGACAAATGATCAACTGTCTAAGCGTTAACGTTGGAAGTCAGTATGGAATATGTTGTACATAAATTAGATGTAACATCATAAGAGAAAAGTTCAACAACGTGCTGATGTTCTTAGTAAGGCAAACTTACTGTCTAATGTGAAGTTTAGGGAACAGGGTGGAATTTCATCAGGCAGAGTGACTGTCGGGTCACCACACCCACAGCTCGCCATGTTTAACTTCTGCAAACAGTCTTGGAGACATATCTGTGGAGAAATATAAAAAAATTACCGAGTTATAAAACTGTTAATCTGGATCTAATAGACCTAACTCGGTAGCTCTGGTTTAAAATCCCATTTTATTTTATGTTTCGCAGACATTTGCAGCAAAGAAATATAACTTTATTCCATCTTGAAACTAAGAACTTGTATGGATTAATTAGTTAAACATCACAAGTGCTAAGCTTTTATCAGATCATGAAAATTGCTGAAATCTTAAAGATTTGTAGCTCACAAATATCAATGCCTAAAGAAGATGCTAGATCGAACACAGTTTCACAGTACAGGTTTTAAAGTAATTAATTTATTAGTGTAGAATTTATTTGAAAAATGGTCAATCCACTCAAACAAAAGTAACCATGAATTTTAGTA